CCTTTGAATATAGTTTGCTTACCCTTTTAAGGCCCCTTTCTACTTCGAAGACAGTGTCAAGTGGTCTTAGCATAAAGGAGAACCTAAATCTATAAGTTTCAGAGTAGCAGCCATGTTAGTCTGTATCTGTAAAAAGAACAGGAGTACTTGTGGCACCTTAGAGACTAGCAAATTTATTTGAGCATAAGCTTTCGTGGGCTACAGCCCACTTCATCGGATGCATAGAATGGAACATATAACAAGAGTATATATATACATACAGAGAAGATGCTATACCAGCTCTAATAGGCTAATTAATTAAGATGACCTATTATCAGCAGGAAAAAAACTTTTGTAGTGATAATCAAGATGGTCAATTACAGACAGTTGACAAGAGGTGTAAGGAACTAGTTATCATAAGTTATCATATCTATAAACCTCCCTTCACCATTTCTCTCTCCCTGTTTTTTCCTAATCCATCCATTATAGGTTACCCCTTTTTCGGGAACATCACCGTCTCCAAATCCTGTGTTAAGACGTGCGTGCCTACCGACCCGGATGGAATTGGGGAGTCCCACCCCGATTCGTGCTGTTACACCGACCTGTGCAATACTGGCGGCGTGCCAGGGCTGACAGCCAATGCCTTGGCAATCACAGCTGCCGCTCTCTGGACCCTCCTGAGGGTCATGCCGTAGTGCAGCGGGGTCTCAGACAGAAGTCCTCCTGGCCAAGCTGCCCAGCACGTGGAACTGACACTTGCGGAAGATATTTCTCCAGTTAACTGTGGCTTCTTCTTCTTTAAACCAGGAATTTAATGGACCATTGGAGATCAAACCCACCCAGCTTTGAAACCCTGGGCCATGCTCTGCTCCCAGCTGCTAATCAAGGGGACATGTTGCTTCAGCATTGACTACATCCTGCCGCTGCACCCCTCCAGGGATGGGGACATGGAAGAGACATGGCCGTTCTGCATAGCAGGAGTCCTCAGGCGACAGGGACTGTGGGGGGGTGGGCACTGTTCTGTGCTGGGGGGAGGGGGAGGAGCAGGACAGGGCCATGGCAGGCTGGTCAAAGAACTACACAAACTCACCAGTTAATCCATCCATGTAGGGCCATGCAGGGCTGGTGTCATTTCAGCAGGGGAAAATTCAGGGTACCCATCCCCCCAGTCTCACCTAAAGCCTGTTTTCTTGTGCAGGGGATCCAGCATTTAACCCCATTTGATTTCTTCTTCGCAGCTCCCAAGCACTGCAGTCACCCATCTTTCTGTACCATAAATAGCTTAACGTAGTGATTCCCTGTTCTCTGGGGGCGTCCATTGCCACTTCCCATTTTCTCAGGACGCTTTTATTTTGAACCCCAGGAGGACTGTTTTCAAATGCTGCTTAGGACAATGAGCGAAAGGAGCTTGAGGGCTCATCTGAGAGTTCCTCTAGGCTGCAAATCCCACTGCCCGGCTCAAGAGAGAGGCCCTGAGTTGGAAGGGCAGGGGGGGGTTTGCAGATCAGAAACGAGGGGCAGTAGCAGAGCTGCAGGTGCATCTAGTAGGGAACCTGCCTGCCCTTTGCCTGATGTGAACTAGTGGTCTCAGGCCTTTACTTTCAATTGCACTAAAATCCAGACAAGTTCCCAATTGGCTTCAAACACCTGCCTCCACCCCCCGCTCCCTAAAATAAAATAAAAGGGAAATGTATTACTGGGCCAGATCCAGTCTTTATAGTCCATTGAAGCATGTCCTCTGCTGAGGATCAGACCCCTCTGAGGTTCTGGCCCCCTGACGCTTGAGAAATGTTTCTAAGGCACATTTGCCCCACCTCTGCAGTAAAACTAGATCCAGCGTAACTGGATCCAGTTCGGAAACGGCTTGCCAGGGATTCCTAGCTCTGTCCCGTCTAGGGGGGAGAATCTGAACTTTGCTCCACTCTCATTCCCATGACAAAGACTTTGGCGTGTGAGCCACCCCGCTGAAATCAACAGGATGACTCACGTAAATGAGGGAAGGAGGTCTGGGCAGCAGGCCCTGAATTCCAGTTATAAATGTTTCACTTTGACTAGCCTTTCCTCTGTATTACCTTCCCATGCGGGGTAAGGTCCAGCTTCACTCCCATGAACTCTGGCACATGGAAACTGACCAGAAACCTGACGGGCAAGATGTCTGCTCTGTCCTCTGCTGCACGCTGCCTCTAGCTGGTCCTTGCACTTGGCCTGTCTAAGGCCCGTATGTTTGGAGTCCCACAAGGGGGCACAGCACAAGCTTGTGGCGAGGGCAGAGGACTTGCCCTCTCATCATGGCTCTGCCACTGACTCCGTGTGCGACCCTGTTCAAGTCATGGGTTCTTTGCTCCGTGCCTCAGTTTCCCCAGATGTAACATGGAGACAACTTTGTTGACACAGCTTTGTAAAGTGCTTTGAGATCTAGAGATGAAAAACGCTGATTATTACGATTAGAGGGGGCACACTGCCTCAGGCAGAGCAAGGTCTTGTCCTTGGGTTACTGCTGCCCCTCCATTTCAAACTGATAAGCCCCCTTCCTTCCCATACCTCTGAGAGTCTGAACTCTAAATGCCAGAGCAGACCAACCTCACCATTATTCTTTTTAAAAGAAGGTCCCGATTCCCCTTTCCCATTCTACGCTGTAAAGACTGGAGTTCAGCATTATCTCTCTGGTCTTTTGATGCAGATCCCAAGCCAGAAGTGGCAACATGAGTGGAGCTGAATTCTCCACATTGTATTGTCTGAACATGTAACGTTGTTTGCCATGGTCTGTACGAGGGGGAAGCTGGCAGGGGCCCTGAACTCCCAATGGGGTTATTGTTCAGGCTGGCAGGCCTGTGGAAGGATCCAACAAGCAAATTCACATTCACCAGCTCTGCAATCTCTTCCTGTACAGTACTAACACATTGCCCAGGGACCGACTGCCCCCCTCCAATGGGGAACAACAATCTGACCATAGGGAATATAAATTCGATAATGGGCATTTCAATCTAGCAGACAAAGATCAAACAAGATCCAATGGCTGGGAGTTGAAGCTAGACAAATTCAGACTTGGCAATAAGGTGCAAATTTTTAACGGGGGGGTAATTACAGAGGGTAATTGGAACAATTTACCAAGAGTCGTGCTTGATTCTGAATCACTGGCAATTTTTCAATCAAGATTGGATTTTTATTCTTTTTCCTGAAAAATCTGCTTTAGTTCAAAAATTCAGGGAAGTCCTATGGCCTGTCTTAGGCAGGAAGTGTGTTGTAATCAATGGGCCTACAAATTCATCCTCATTGTGAACTCTGCTGTAAAAAGTAAGTGAATGTTTCGAAGATGTCACAACAACAACAAATGTTGCTGAGAAAAGGCACAAAAAGACTGAACTAGTTCAAACAAAAAGGCCGACCAATAGAACTCAGGGGCTGTGTTAAGATCATGCCTGATAAACTAGAGGAATTGAGGAGCAAAAATTAATAAACCAAAATTGGTATGTCAGATATTAGGCCTAATTGGTGGACAAAATAACATAGGGATGGGCTATTCCACCCATCACTGACTTTTGGGGTCCTTAAGAAAGAGAGGGGAGAAAAACTGGCTACTGGTGTGAACTTTGCCTCCCCCACATCTCCTGAAAGATGTCCTGGCCAGAGAGAGGGTGCCAGATGACATTACCACCGCTACCGGCTTCCACTAAATCCTGAACAGCACCTGGGATGTGAGACTTTGTCTCTGCCCTCCCGCAGAGCTTGTGCTTTTCCTTCCCTGCCTTGTTTCTTCTTGTTTCTATCCTTCTCTCTTTTCCTTCTGGCTTAGCTAGCCGCGACGGCATATTTTGCAGCACTTCTGAAAGCGTCTGACCGGAAACAAGCGGCTAAAAGCACTGCCCTAAACAGCCCAATGCTGGCATGAGTTTGCCAGGTCTCAGAGCGGCTGATCAGCCCCTGTGCTGGGCCTGTTTGTCAGCATTGAGGTTGCATGTGAGAGTTATCACCAGAGACAGAAGCTACATTGTCTCTCTTTGCTGTTCTTTTCTCTCCCCTTTTGTGTGTGTTTGTCTTGTTTTGTCTTCTAGGAAATGGGATTGGATTTTAACCACAGCTCCCAGCC